ATTTTGTTCACCATCATCGTCATTATTATTATTATTATTAATCTCTGAATACAGGCCTATTCATGTATTTTACTCAAGTTTTTTTTTTTTTTTTTTATATACATGCATGCGTATGCAGTATAAAGGTTCTACAACTGTACCTCCTATATAGCATAGATCTCGTCCTATCTCTCAATGCGATTTATTTCACGAGGTTCTTATATATATATACATATATATACCTACACCCAGTACCCACGACAACTATCCAACACGACACACGCGTGAACACTACGCATAATATATTATTATTATATTCCGGTAAAACCTGATTAAAGTGACCGGCGCGTCTTTGCGGGGCGGCGGCGGCGACCCTATTCAACTGTCAAAACGAAATTTTAAGCGCGTCTCCTCAGCGACCCTAAAATCCGTCCCAGAGGTGTGCGCGTATCGCCACCGCCACGACCACCGGTGCACATTGTACGGCAAACGGGATTCTTTTGGGTGACCGGACAAAGTTTCCCATCGTCGTCGTCGTCGCAGCCGCCGATGAAGTAGGTTACTACTCACACACATTTTTGCCGCACCCGGTGGCACACAATTCGCTGCGCGCACACGTCCGGCACCCCTCGCCGACACTTTGTTCTACGAAATACAAATGCAAATGCGGTGGGTGCGTGCAATACCTATACCTATACGATGACTACAATAACGAGTGTGCAAAAGATCGTTAGCGCGGTCGATTACCGGTTTTCCTATCGGAAATCGCTCACTATATACAAAACAATTATTTGCTTTTTTCATGCCTACCGATAGGTATACCCGGTACTCCAGTACTCCACACCCATCTCGTCGGTTTAAAGGTTAAAAAACCAATACGAAATACCGACGGTTTGTTTCTTTTGTTGCTATATTATTTTTTTTTCATTTGCTGCACTGTTGGCCAAGATGAATCGCTCCACGACTTCTGGTTAAACAAGGGTCCCCTCCTCCTCGCGCATAGTACATCGATTTTTTTTACTTCACATCATACTATATAAACATTACATATTAGATACATAAAATATATATATTCTTCAAAAGGATTTCAATTTAACGTCCGGACGATTATTTTTATTACTATCTATTTGTGTGTTGTTATCGCGATATCCCATTAAAATTACATTTGCCCTACATATAGCTTACACAACATGAAATACATTATTTTATGAAGCTTCTTGAAATTATTTAAATTTATTGCTTAGAAATTTCCGATAAACATTCTAATTGTATCCTTTTCTTGTAAACCATTTCAATAAGCATAATATATGAGTGTTGTGTGCCTAATAACGTCTAAATTTGTAAAGACCTACTAAACTCTTGCAGACGATGCCACAGCCAATCAACCACCAGTCGTATTATCTGTTAGTTTAAATAAAAGTATTAGCGAAATCTCAAATATTTTGTATCCTATCTGTATCCATTTATTAAGTCATTAATGACTGTTTTAAACAATTTAAATTTAATTTTACCTACTCCCTAATCATTGTTATCACTTTTAGATTTTTATCATTTAATTTTCATATTATTATTATCTGTGTCAACAGTATAATATGTTGTTCTTCTGTTCTTTTTATTGTTATATTTTTATCACTCAATTATCTTATTGTTGAGCATATATATTCTCCTTGTATTAATCAGTAATTGTTGAACTATAATAGTTTTATACTGAAAGTTCTTGATTAAATAAAAAAAATTGTATAGTGTATGGAGCGTTATGGACGTAATAAATAACCAAGTTGGACTAACACACAGATAATAAATACGAACGACTATAACGAGAGTTTTAAGATAAATTATTTTTCGAAACGCATCTCTCCGGTATTTTATTTCCGTCTAATGGATCGTTACAGTTTATGCGAGCAAAATACTATATAGTTTCAGGACAAAAAGTGGAAGACATACTTGTACTACTCACATGACCGAGAATGAAATCGAAGTACGAAAAATATAAAAGAATTAGTTTGGATCTATCCATTTATTTATATCGATAATTATAATATAGTTCTAATATATTTTAAGTTTCTTTACGCATATAAACAGTATACGAGTATATGTTATTCATTTAATTAAATTAATAATGTAAATATGATGTGGTGGTGTATAAATTCTAAAAGAAAATATTTTTTTCCCTTTTTTATCATATTCACATCAGCAAAAGTTAAAAGATAATTAAGCGAACATTTTGAATGCGACCAATTCATGGCTGATCGTATACATACTGATTTTAAAATAAAATAATTATATTGAGCGTTTTAATTTTTAAATTTTAAATTCATTGATTTTTTTTTTGGAAACGCCCTTCAGAGAATGTAAGTATAATTCTCATAGTTCTGCTGTCAACAGGAGTTTGTACAATTTGTCACCCATCATACGAAAAGCTAATGCGGATTTACCCCCAATAATATTATACAATAGATGCATCATAGTACTTTTAGTATTACGTTTATGGATAATATATTAATATGTATATGTATTATATTTATAAACTGCAAACGTGAACGATTCAAAATCTTTTGTGCATTTGACATTTGTACATGAATAACAATAAAAATGGTGATCCATTTAATCTGCTACAATCATTGCAATCATTGTGTACTTAACTAAAAATGAATCTTAAGTATAGGAATCTATATTTTATTTTTATTTTTTTAAATTTTTATAAATAATTATACTAGCACTTGTGGATTTTTATTAAATATTTAAAGCGAACATTAAATCATTTTATAAATAATAATGATTTAGAAAGTTATACATTTTAATGTTATGCCACCGTTAAAAAAAATAACTGTGGACTACCAGCCCTATGGAACATGGAACACTGACACGTGAGTTTAATTTTTTGGTGGTTTTGCAGCTGTTGCATTGTAAAAACGGATATCCGGCGAGTAAAAAAGGACTAAAAAAACTGCGAAAAATACAATTCAAAAATATATATATTAAAAAAAGAAGTGTTTCTACAATATTCGTGTTGAAATATTTCATTAAAATGATATTTTAAAAATATAACGAAGCGACAATTATTATGGATTCGTTAACGTTTGCATGCACGGCATGCCGCGGTCATTCGTTTGCAGTGCGCATTCATCGTTGATGTATGTGACATGCAAGTGCAGTCTTTTACGATATGACCACGCCCGTCACTATAAGCCTTGCACTTCTTGTATGCAGTGCAAGGCCAAGGTGATTTGAGATCGGACCCGAGCCCCCTTGTCCCGGAGTTCGTCTGCTCGCTCCTTGAGCAATTTGGAACGGATCCGGACATGAGCCAGTGTCTCTTCCTTGGTGTACTCGACATAATAGTTCAGCCCCACGCATACCAAGAACGTCCGGATGTCCGCGTTGGCCTGCATGAAATAGTCGCATCCCACATTGACACGGGTCTTTAATGGCTTGCCGGCTGGAAGTTCGCCTTCCAGCATGCACATTGTTTCCACGGTGTTGCGCACAGCTTCCAGTTCCGAAATCTGCTCGTTGATCACATCAAGAGCGGCCGATATCTGCTTTAGGCTGTCCTTGAGCACGTCGTTAATGAACGTCTCGAACTTGGCCACGTTTTCCTCTACCGACTGTGCATTCGACTGCGACGGTGACGAAAACGACATCTTTTTTTTCCTCGACGGTTTTATCCGGTAATACTTATTTTTCTCTTATATTCACCTGAAACACGTTTAATCAAATATTTTTAATCCGCATGTATTATATAGTTGTCTGTACTAGATTTTAAACAACTATAAGCTATAGCAGGTGTTTAACTATTAAACTCTCCAAAGTCTTAACAATTCCCTCCTAAAAAAAAAAATAATACGGGAAGTTTATATTATGTAAATAAATACGCAAGAGGCTGATTGAAGTCCTTATGAATTTTTTGCTCGTCAGATCAATGACATTTGATAAAGTACCTACTGCACGGGTAGAGTGGTCTTGCCAAATGCTATGATTTTTTATACCTATATAAAAAGTATGTACAAACACTTTTTCTAATATAAATGTATAAGATATCGGGAAATTTAATCTGCAGTCGATTACATTCAGATAACTTTCACTACACCGATGTCCTTCAAAAAATTGAGTGGATTATTTACTTTTCATACACAAAGTCCATATATTCACGACCGGAAATCGATGCAGCACGCCCGACTAACCTGTAAAATATATTTGGCGGTAAGACCCGTCCCAAACCCGTATTTCCGTATATCGAGAACGTCCATTTCAACTTAATAGGTTAGCTATACGCAAAAAGCAAGTAGGAAAATAATGCGTTTTCGATGTTTTTTCTTTCTCTGCTGTATACCGTCGTTCATTTAATATAGTTATATATCGTATTAAAGTATAAGCTGTAAAATTATACATAAATTATTCTTTATTTATACGCAACGAATCTACAGTAGACGTTACACTATAACTCGTTTGTACTTGCGAATTACAATAATTTGTGTTCGTAGAGCAGAAACATCGGCAAAATTGTATACCTAACTAGCGGGCACGGAGACAACTGTGCCAGAGCCAGAAACCACTTTCATTGCAGAGTTTAGGTCACGTGTTCTTAGAGGGCGCTGGGTTACCAATACAATAATAATATTATTGGAACTTAGATAACAATTTAAAATAGATCGTAACCGTATGACTTCACCGCTGATTTATGCTGTAGTTCTTACCAAGATTTGGTCCCCCTTCCGAAATTCATATTGAATTTATAACTTTAAAACTTCGGCTACTGAGTTTAATATTATTTTTTTGATTTAAATACATATTTAAAGTACTTAGGTACTTATATTATGCGCGCTGTTTTAATGAATAGGAAATCAAATTTTCTTCTGCCATTGTCACATAAATCGGATTTACACGGAAAAAGTAAAAACAAAATAATAAGTTGCAACAAAAAGTTAACATGTATACAGATGTTTTATGAAAAGTTAAAAACAAGTGCCAGTAACCAGAGTTTCCGTAATTTTATCGTTGATTTTAACATATAAAAATTTATATATTTTCATATTACCCATCAAAGAACTTTAAAATGTAAATATGTTTCAGTACCAAACAAAATAGTACATATTATACATATATAAACATTTTAAACACACCAATGAATAAGGAAATACAAAAATAAATCACTTTATTTATGTATTAGTTATAATTTTTTCATGTTTTGAAAATTATAGATTCACTTATGATTTTATAATACAAATATTATTATTATTATTATTATTATACCCAAGTATAGTTATTATTGTTATAAATAATAAAATAAAAATATTGGTTAATTGAACAGCATAAATTAAAGAATGTAATAAATTAAATTTTAGTTTAGTGGTTTTACTCGTACATKTATTCTTGTACATTGATGCAAATCCATATATTTAGCAATGAACATTTTGATCATTAAACAACATTAATAAGCGAATACTCAACGGAAACTTCCTACCAATTTGTTGTTAAAGGAAAACATAATCAAAAACCAAAATATAATTAAATTTAAATACACATTTGCATTTATTTTTATTCTGATTTAAATAATAAAAAGTAGTAAAAGAAAAAAAAACAAAAATTTAMATAGGAATTTATATAATATAAAAAATAAGATTAAATATTTAATTTTAAAAATTGTGGTATTTAAAATTAAAAACAAAAATTGGTACATAAATAAAAATATGTACGTACCTATTCAATGTTAACTTTCGACATACTTTTTTTATTAAGCCAGAAAGCCTTGGGCTTTAATTTAAATAACACGATAATATGTTCCAAGTTTTTACTCATTAATTAAGCATTACTAACATATACATTATACATATTTTTATAAATGAAATGCCAAGTTCGAAATCAACACGACTCGGTTGTCGACAAAATTGATTTTCTACCTACATTACCTTTTTTGCTTAGAAATTATTAAACAGATTTATGTCGTAAGCTACTAATTCTTGTTCGTTTTATAATTTATACATCATAACATGAATATAAATTAAGAAAGTTGTCTAATTCTTAACATACCTTTTAATAGCAATTGTAATATATATATATATATATATATATATATATATATATATATACATATTATTATAAGATATAATGAATAATGGTAATGTAGTATTTATATTTTAAATTATGAGTGGTAAATATACACGTTATGTAAAATACAACGACGTCATAATATGTCAAAATCGTAAATTTTCTACGACTTAGGTTGATAATAAGTGTGTCGTTAGTTGTTTCCATATAATGTTTACTTGGAGCGTATACCAAGTACCCCCTACMTAATATCATGTTTTATTTAATTCAAAATAGAGTTGCATGCGAATAATAATATTTTAATATAGTGCCTTAGTTTATATTATTAAATAACATTATAAACAACACTTTAAACATTAATGCGTATAATATTATTGAGTGAGGTTTCTTTTTCTCTTCGGGAATTTAATTTTTAAATTTATCTTGACATTTAGACATTGATTCAGTTATTGTTCGTGGCTGTCGTTAGTAAAACAATGGCTTTTATAAAATAAGTGACTAAAATTTGATTGCCTGTACGTGATAATAGTATACTTACACTATATAGGTTGAATAGGTTGAACATTACAAATCGTTATACTAACATAAAATTCTCATTCTTATATATTCTTATTATAATTATGGTATTAACTTTAAAAGGCAAATAATCCGGAATTGATAAAATAAAACAACAATTTAATAGTTTCTAACGAAATACAATAAGTACTTATATAAATGTATCGCATTTAAAACAAATGAAATATTATTTCTGATATGATGTAATTAACTCAATTACTAATAAAAATTCCATTCAATTATTTTACCAGTCAGTATCACATTATTTTATTGAGTAAAACGGTATTGAGAGGGTTTAGCAAATGTTTAGTATACATTAATATTTTTTATAAACTTTATAAAAATAAATTAGGGAAAATATTTTAAAACTATTTTGCTAGTATGATACTTTTTACAATTACTGAAATGTAAATAAAAGATGTAATTGACAAAGGCGATGCAATTTATTTTATGAGCAAGCGAATTCTACCATACGTAGGTTTAAATATGAAAGTATTGCAAGTGTTGTGATGTTTTTACAATTATTTAGATATAGTTATATATTAATACAATATGCTTTGAAAAGAGCTAGATTACCATTGTTCTTACAGTTATGGAAACAATAATCAAAAGTTTCGGTTATTTCCAAACAGTGATTAGTATTTATAATACCTAAAAGTAATTTCAGGTTATTACAAATTACCATTGTTTTAAACAGTCAGCCGTAAGCAATTTACTGCACAGCTGGTTTTATTTCAAAATAATTTTGAAGATGATCATTATAAAGTTGAAAAAAAAATTGTAATTAACTAAATAGTTAATTATTAGTTTTTGTTCAACGTCACAAATATAATGTACATAATGTTTTTGTATCATACATTTTGAACGAAAAATACGCATTTATAACTTGAAAAAAAAATATATATAAAAATGAATCATTAACACTTAATACTCTTGAAAGTTGATATGAAAAATATAAGCATTACCAAATAAATTGGCTGTTTATGGATATGATAAATTATATTTATAATTATGATTAATTTATAATGTACACGCATTGCGCCATCATTATCATTTTTAACGAAATTTAAAGAACGCATGTTTGAGTTAATTAACCAGATAAGGTCTCATGATTGTAAAATGAGTTGTTTTTTTTCTTTCTTATTTTTTTTATAATAGTAATTTATTTTTGATAATCTGTAATAACAATTGTAGGTATTCAAGTTCATCTACCCGATGAGCAACAAACTATGCGAGTGTCTAGGTATATTATATCGAAATAAATCGAAAGGAATATTAGAGTTAGACAACGGCTATTAAACTTATATTATTAAACAATATGCAGGAGGTTTAAGGACTTATATCCATTGGAACGCCGTTGAAAGAATATTAGATACATTAGACAAACGCTGTCTTAGAACTTAAAGTGAGCTATTGTTATGAAATAGTGTCAAAGCCTGCAGAATCGTTTAAGTGCGAATCGTTTCGAGATCACATTTTTCGCTCCCTAAGAGTGTGATATTTTTATTTTTCGATCACCGTTCACCGTTTGATGTCTTACACACATCGGTGTGCGGTGTGTGCATCACAGATTGAATTATAAAGACGACCATGATGGTGTCCCCAAGCAAGTTTTACAAATTTCCTATAGAAATATACTTTCCCGGATCCCCGTCGCTCCATCATCACCGACCGTAACGCCACTAATGAGGTTAGTTCGGTTGAACGTTTTTACCCTCAAAGTGTAAAGCACAGTGTGCGTTAGGCGTGTGTGTGGCGTGTCAGTATAATATTGGCAGAATGAAAAAGAGATTGCCGCATGCCTGAGTGAAAAACGTGTCCAATTATCGTCGGCCTCGACAACGGCGGATCCTTTACCATCTCTCGTGGCACTCAAACAAGTAAAATATATAAACAACAGCAGCTATACAAATGTAAATGTATACCTACAGTTTTATTCTATGATATATTGAACGTAAAATATAAAAGCATTACAATAATATCATTGCCTCGATGTTACACAAGTATGTATGTGTGTGGACATTTATCTTAATGAATCGATATAATTTATAAATTGAACGTAAAAATAAAAAAGTAATAAAAAAACTTTCAGAGCA